AATGAAAAGAGCTCGAATAAACGATGTATCCAAATAATTGTGTGCCTCAAAAATAGTTGGATTGGTATAGCAGGGTCTAGAAGTAAATCGGAGGCGCGAAAGGAAGGAAAGCTCCATTTTTAAGCAAACGCTAGCTGAGCACCAGCCCTGACGCCAAACTGGTCCAAATGGCCTGCGTCAGACGGTACTGTGACTCTGACAATGAGACTTTGTACGGTGTTGGATTGAGTTGACGTCGGTGATCGGGTCTGAGTTCGGCAAGGCTCTTCTTTACACGGCGTCGTATCTCTTCAAGACTGGGCAAGTTGCAGGCCACCTAGTGCGATGGAACAAAGTGTTGTTGGCATTAGTTGCGAGAGAGAGGGGTAGATATCGGTTAGGCGGAATCATATGTTACCAGCGAAAAATGCCCGAGAACCGTTAAGGAAATAGGTTAGGGAAATAAGAATAACATTTGTGACTTGTTTGCTATCCCCAACTGGCTAAATCCCGACAGCGATGCTAGCTTCTGGTTTAATAGCAGAGCTCACTGGTAAAAAACCGAATTAAAGACCGAGATTTATTCGGGTCGAGGTACAGGTATAGCCGGCTTAGGAACGTTAATAATTCAGAGGTGTATATTTCAGTCATCCTAGTCTTTCTATGTATCTCTCATACGCACCCAATGCTTCTTTAAACTTATAACAGTGCCAACTTGACTCAGACCAGCATCTTTATATATAACATGACCGCAAATGCTTGATAGTTTCTAAAAATTCGAACCAAAAGGCTATCTGGGGCTCCTTTCTCACGTACTGCGATACATTTTTGGAAAATATTTCACCATCATTGAATGTGGATGTAAGGAGGAGAGAATGGTAGCCTCAGTTTTGATTTTTAAGTTAAAATTAAGATCCTTCCATAAGGGCTGGTTTCGTCAATTTACTAGCCAACGTTTTTTGATTACTCACCAGTCGGGTCATGGAACTAACGCGCCCCGTCGTACGTTGCTGTGCAATCTAGAGCCCTTGATGAGATTCGCTTATGGTCATTTCTGTCGCATTGTCCGCTGACACCTAGTCTTATTCAAACGCCTGTTCTAAAGACTGCCGTCAGCCAATCCTACCCAATCCCAGTTGTAAATCACCCAATATTCGAACCTGCGGCCTTTCGGTCATAAGGTCAGGTCAGGTTATATTAGGGACATATAGGTAAATACCTTTGAAGTCCTTCTTGATAGAGAGCAGTTATGATGCAGAAAATGTGGTGTTGCCAGTAATGGAACTGCGTAAGAAGGGCAGACAGTAAAAAATACTCCTTAGGCATTGTTCATAAGTCTAGGTCTGAATGCCATTTGGGGCATTTTAAGGAGAAAAACTGCCGCCCGTGGGGGGGGGAGGGGTGGGGGGCATACGTAAATCGGATAGCCTGCCGCTGAAAGGTACAGTGGATTCCCTATCTCATGATGGTTGTAATAGAGACGATCATATAGCCTAATCTCAACAAATTTTGCACACTACAGGATGCCCGCCTTTTAGAGAGCTTCTATCTGACCGCCAAGAAAAAGTATGTACTATTAAAAGTAGCTACTTAAGTAGTATGCCGCTTTGTCATTGATTTTGACTGCCTTTATACGTAGATTCAAATATATTTTTCGGAAAACATGCACGAAAGAAATATTTCTTGTACTCGTTTGGCAGAAAATTACGCCTACTTTAAATGTTGTACTTAAAGAAAGGGTATCTTTCAGTTTTCAAAAGGTTTTTAAATCGCCGAATAATTTTGAAACCTACTGACTGCTACACTGGAATTCAAGGTTTGGAAACTGCGCACTGCGTACATCCTGTTTAAGGAAAAGTACGCTTTCGCCCACAGTTTAAGGAAGATCTCACATAGTTCTCATTAAATGTTGCAATAGATATGGAACATGCTTTATACAGTAAAGGTAGCATTAACAAATTGACGGATACGATGTTCTATGAATGAACACCGGAAAATTGTAAAAAAGCCCATAATAAGAAATTTTTTTAAAACCGAAGATGCCCATTCCTTATGTATAAAATTTAAAAGAAGGCGTAATTTCCTACTAAACGCTTACAAGAAGTAATTTTTTCGTGCATGTTTTCCAAAAAATAAATTTAAATCTATAAAGACAGTCAAAATCAATTCCAAAAAGGCATAATACTTAAGTAGCTACTTTTACAGTACATACTTTTTCTTAGCGGGCAGAAGGAAGCTCGTTAAAAGGCCGGCATCCTGATGTGACCAAAAGAAATTGAGATTAGGCTGTGCGATCGTCATTTTGAAAACCATACGTAATTACTTCGTTTGAATCGAAAACGCATTTCAGAATTCCGGGTGACATTTCATGAGATAGGGAATCCACTGTATTTTGCTCTATCACTGAGCAACGGGCCCGTTGCTTTGTCGACTGTGATCGGAAATATGATGTTATAGGGCCCATTGGTCTGGGTGCAGAACAGGTGTGGTAATCACAGGTGTGGATCACCCGAGATTCGAGCCGGAATCTCTATATATAAGTACATATTTTGTAAAGTTTGCATCCCAGGAAATATAATTTGGTGGAAGAAGTTGGTTGGGAGACGTAAATCGAGCTGCTCACTACACAGAGAAACGGGTAAATTATTATAATTGTGGATAAAGTAAACTGACTTCATGAAACTAGATTAAATTCTAAACAGTTTTTTCTTGACTACTGGCTAAACCATAAAATTGTTTTTCATCC